ACTGACCCACGATGATGTTGCAAGATACTTCATGAAGCAAATAGTGGTTCCACAAAGTACTGATTCAGGGGGTGGATACTTTTACACCCCCCACTTCAGCTTCAAGATAATCTATACAATTCATTGCAATTTTGTGTTCCTTAGTGTGTGTCTTTCACAGGTGTTTTCAATTAAATAAATCTATGTTTATGCATGGCTAAATATCAAAAGGTTGAAGGGGAGGGCATACTTCATTGCATATAGGAGGATCTTTGAGTGACGTCGTAATTTATAGTTTTTCCGCGCCGGTCATGTGGCCGGGTGGCAAAACAGCATAGAAAGCTACCTGGATGCTAGAGAGTTAGCTTGTTTTAGACGTTTGGAGGGGGGTTTTACTAAATAAAATGGTCCATACTTGTTGTGTGGTTGGTTGGACAGCCCGCTGGGGACAGACAAAGTTTTTTTTCAAATTTTTTCGGAAAATAACAGTGAAAAATGGCCACGGTAAAGTGGTCCGCACATTAAAAGCGTTTTGTCATTTTATGCTGTATGCCGTAAGTAACAGCATAAAGAGCAACCCGCTTTTAATGTGCGGACCACTTTACCGCAACAGCAAAAAGCCATGCTACTTCCACAGAGAAAAAAGCGAGAAATGGATTTTCACCACGGACCATTCTTGCGTGAAGGGTCCCGGGTTTTCTATGAAGTAAGAATAAATGTCTCGCAGCAGATCAGTGCCAAGACAGAGGTGAGTCTGAGCAATGTTTGTCATCATCCCAGGTCTCATATGGGCTTTGAATTTGTTCAGTTCGGTCTCATATACTTATTTTTAGCTCGTCTTTATATCTCCTCTGATCTTCTAGCGTTAAAGTGTATTTTGCCCACTGAGTCTTTTAAAAGTACTCGTCGCATCCATACTTCAGTATGTGCCGCTCTGTCTTTTTCCCACCCAGCGAGGGGCGCATGCGCACGCGGATGTAAACAAAGATCCTCCTATAGAACAGGCAAAAATAGCAAAGTAATAGATTTTCTCTAAACATATTAACAGGTATGAGATTTTATCATATGAAGCAATCCAAAAGCTTTTTACATACTAGTATTTCTTCTAAAACATGTTTTTGATGTTATGTAGTAACTTTGGCAAATTCTAAAACGGTGCCCAGTCTTGGAAAGGCATTGAGCTGGGTTTTGTACCAAATGCTGCAATATGGTTTCTGTTAGTACTGGCAGTAACAACAGCACAGCGGCATCAGAAGGATGGATGGCTAAATGTAGTTGCATCTGTCGCCTGTGGCAGCTGGCCCCAGTCATACATGGGCTGATTAAAACCTCTAAAATGCAGGTGTGCTTTGATTGGGTTTCTTTGGAGTATAATGCTTAGAGCGTATGAGAGTTGTGTTTTTCTGGTAGAATGGTGCCCGTTTTAAATAAAGATTGAAAAATTGTGTTATACACTGATGAAATGACAATTTGGGGGGGAAATTAAATTGACTGTACATAGGGGACTGTTCAAGAACTGATGGCATCACGACGGGGAGATTCAGAGTTAATTATACAGATGGTCAAGATTTAAGACTCAACCTTCCTCCTATTATAATACTTCAATATTCCACTCCACTACATCAAAGAATATTCTTGCTTTGGCAGGTAACATTGTCGAATGATGTGCCACTGCGTTTTGGTGTAGTTTATACTAATCAGGCGTTGTTGCTTAAAGGAGCAATATGTAATATTTGCATGTCAAGTCATCATTAAATGACCCGAATATTTCAAAAGGCATTAATAAATCATGTTCTTTTCAAACACATCTTTAACTGATAACAGTAGTTCATCCGAGATATTTGAATATCAAAATTAGTTTTACGACCCGTAAAAGTTGTTATTGTTTTGATTTTGATGTCCTACCCTCCGCCGTTTCGCCAATCAGGAAGTGTCATGTAAGTCCGTGATCGGGTTGCCAGAACTCCGCGCGGCTCACTAATCTCAGAGGTAAAATAACATGTGGCGCAGAACTAAAAAAGGTCTTGTTATGACTCTCAAATCATTAATGACAAAACAAAGACTAAAACGAGGATTTATATCGGGACGCCTTTAAACAATTGAGACAGCTGATAAAAGTTTACGTGTGATGCAGAATTTGCTAGTTTGAGTCCGTTCTTCACAGTGACTCTAACTGTGAGAATCGGTGGTCTAGTGGTCTAAACTGTGCGCTTACGATGCAGGAACCCGGGTTCGATTCCGGGCTATGTCTTTTTGTATTTATTGCATGTTATCACATTCTATGACAGATTGCTCTAAAAACGGTAAAAGATGAAGGTCAAGACGTTTTTTTGCAGATTATAGCTTAATTGTAAAAATAATCATTTAAGACCACATGTACCCCAATTAAAATAATGTTAGTCCCTTTTTGATGTGGGACTTTTACATGTTTGTCTAAAAAATAGGGAATAAATAAAATTGAAAGGTGATATCCTCTTGAGCAAACCCTGATGTTGATACGCTGAAGAAATACGTTCCAACATCCATTCTTCCCACTCCTATTTTGGACATCAATTGCTTATGTATTTTGCATAAACTATGTATAATTGCATTGCTTTTATTTTGTTTTTGTTTTTTATCTCAAATGTCCAAATAATAATAATAAAAAAACATGAATCAAAACATTCATTCAGCATTAGCACGGCTGTCATGGCAATGTGAATGGAGACGGACAAACAACTGATAAAATAATTCCCTGTGTTTGCTGCTGGATTTGGTGTGAATCTGGCAACCTGAGTCAGGGAGAGTGGGAGAGGACTACAAAATATTGACTGTGACTGCAGTACCACTTTTGGCCAGATTTTTACATATTGTTCCTTTAAGTGCAGACCTGGCCCAGATTGGTTCTCTGGGCAAAAGGGTTGATCAGTGCCTTATTTATACACACTTTATTCACCACCCTCGACCTACTAAGAAAATGTGGTTGCCGTATTTTTTGCTCTTAATTCCATAAAGGCAACTTAAAAATCCCACTTGAGTTGATGTCACCAAGAGCCTAATTTATACTTTGCGGTGCCAATAGTGTAATAAAATAAAAAGGCTCACTAGGTGTGAAAAGAATGTTAAGTAAGAGTTGGCTGTAGTATTGTGCCAACGAATATATACGTTGCCTCATTGGAGGAGCTATTTAGCGCTCCACTCCATTAACACAGTGTGTCACAGCTGACAGAGCCGGGCTTTTAAATGCCATGATCTGTGATGGCACTGAAACACACTCGAGATTTAAAGATTCAGCTTCGATAAAGCTCACAACCTGCACTGCAAGAGACAACGAGTAAAACGGGGTACATGCAGACACAAACACCCACAATCGCATTCTGTGAAAATTATGGCACATGTGATGGAGATATGAGGGTGAAAATAAGAATTAAAATCTGAATAAACAACTGGTATTCAAACCCTGTAGTTATAGGCCGTTGTTACATGTCATGTGTCATGTTTAATTCTAATAAACATTCTCCCACTGGGTTTTTAGAATTTTTTACCCGACATTCAATGACATTTATAGACATTGGTCATCTGTCCCTAATGGACCAATGGCTCTATACGTTTTTTGTCTTTGCATTTCCTTTGTTTGAACCGTTTGATTCTCTGATCTGTGTTAGCGAATTCAACGGTTTTGTAAAGTCCTTCAAGATAACTACTGTTGTGATTAGGGGCTATACAAAAATAAATTGAATCGAATTAATACTACCAATACCAAAAAAAAAGAAAATGGTATACAGTGGATATACACTACATATATTGCGTTTTAGTCTATTAGAATATGTTTATAGGGCCTTAATTTAACCAGAGGAACATCAATGACATGGCCCTCATGCCAGTCCTGATATGTTTGTAGATATGGTTAGGAGCCGGTAAGTAATGTATCTCAGTTTGACAAGTCAGGAATAGTAAAGGACGTGAAACACAGGGGACTCGGTGACAGAGTGATAGTACATAAGACAGACCAGCATCTATCAGCACTCTGCGCTGATGGATGGACCAAACTGCAGATATTATTGCTGCTAATGTTTCACCACAAGTGGCCATTACTGGGACACAATTTGTCTTCGCAGTCTTTTTTTTCTCCTGGCAGAGGTAGGGTAGACTCAGGCCATTCACTGATTCTGCCAAATTGTTGAAATAAACAAAAGAAATAAAAAACATATAATTGTAATAATAATAACAATAATAGTAAGTAGTAGTAAAGAAGTCATCCCCATTTACATATGACCTTTCACAAACTGAGTCACAAAACGCTTTCAAATTGTTGAGGTCATTTTTCCTCTCACTCCACACAGTGGGGTTGCCGTACAGCAGGGACATGCCAGACCTATTGTACATGTTTTTAGTGGCAAGAGAAACCGGAGCACCCCAAGGAAACCTATACGGACATGAGGAGAACATGAAAATCCCACAGAAAAGCCCAGTCTGGAAGGGGTATCAAAGCCAGCCAGTGTGACAAGGGAATACGAGGATTATGCATGTTACTACACTTCCTGATTCGGCCTCTGTGCAATAGATTTTGTTAACTTTAGTTTCAGTTCTCTGCACACAAACACACATCCCATATTTCCTATCATAAGCCATTTAAAAAGAGATAAGGGGTGTGCAAAAAAATAAAGAGATTATATATATATGTATATATTATTTTTTAGTTAAAGAAAAACCTATATAAATCACATCTTGTCAGACCTAAGATGTGAAGCAAGGACCCAAGGCCCCACTGTAAAGGACCACCAGGTGACACAGTGGCCACAAAATCAGCCACATTCACACCACAAATGCTCCAGACTTAGGTTAGAGCCGCTCCGAGGTCACCTGATTCAGTCAATTAAGATCTCAGAATGTCATGTTCAGAAGGCCCAAGGTGCATGGCCTTCGCTTAGAAAGCACTATGTCAACCTTGTGACTTTGTGAGCTATAGTATTTCAGTTTAGCGTAGCTTTGTCTCTTTGAAAACTCTTTATGGTGACAACAGTGATGCTTGACGACATTACCTGGTTGCTGGGAGTGTGCTGACTCGTGTGAAGAACACTGAAGGCTCCACATCCACATGAACGCCCAGAGAGAGCTCACGGTAGTAGCCCTCCACTTTGCCTGCTCCTCCTGAGTACTTGAAGGTTAACACTGCTTCCAATGTCTGTAAGGAAACACAAGACCAAACAATTGCAAGAAAATTAATGGGTTATCTAAGCAACGTACACTACCGTTCAAAAGTTTGGGGTCACCCAAGTGTTTTCCATTAAAAGTCACACTTATTCACCACCATACGTTGTGAAATGAATCGAAAACAGAGTCAAGACATTGACAAGATTAGAAATAATTATGTGTATTTGAAATAAGATTTGTTTTACATCCAACTTTGCTTTCGTCAAAGAATCCTCCATTTGCAGCAATTACAACATTGCACCAAAAACCAGACATTTGCAGCTAGAATAGTCATTTACCACATAAGCAATGTATAGAGTGCATTTCTTTACAGTTAAGACTAGTTTAAATGTATCTACAGTGCTGAGTAACTTGAGTACGATTAGGATCAGAGAGTTCTGCTGAAAAGGCTTTGAGCCATTACTGTATCAGCAAAAAATAGAGCTTGAGGTGTCAGAAGTAAGAACAATATTTTATTGTGTTGCTTAGGGCAATGGAAGAATGATTCCGTCAAAAATGACTGGTTGCAACAACAAAAATCCAATTCGAAATCTACTTCTTTGGCAATCTGGGGTAGGGTTGGCGCGGTGAGTGGGCCCATGTCCAGAAGTGAATGGCCAGACAGAATTAATAGAAGATTTTCAGTAAAAGAGGGGTAGCACAGGACAAGCGGCCAAGTTGGAGAGGATGTAGGAATTAAAAGTGGCAGTTTATGGCAAAGAGCACAGAAGCTGACTCAGGCGACAGGCCGTGCGAGGCGGTGCGAAAGGGCCATCCAAGGTCCCACTTTTTCCTCTGCAGCATTGTTCATCCCAAACAGCTGATAGAAGCAAATCTGAGGTCTTTGCCGAACATCTTTAGAGTAATTCTTTGATCACGGTCAGTGTACTGGGTGAAGGTATTTTGAATATAGCTGGGCTTGTTGAACATAACATTGCCCAATTTCTTTAAATTGTGCTTTTTTGAGTGTCCAAAAAAGCACTATACAACGTTATAATTAGGGTTGTCAAACGATTAAAATGTTTAATCGAGTTAATTACAGCTTGAAAAAATGTATTGATCATAATTAATCACTTTGATCATAATTAATCACTTTTCAAACAGCGCATGTAAACAACAGCAGTATGGTAGGAGAAGGTGGCTATTGACTCCTTGCATGTGACGTCCCGGCCACGCCCACTCTCCGTGACAGACGGCAGAAGTCTAACTGCGAGCCTACGGACACCTGACCAAAACAACCTGTTTCAGCGCATTACAGCCAAAACTGACATTTTGCAGTGCGGTTGATTCAAGCCCCAGCGATCCAAGATGGCGCCCTATTCAAATGAATGGTTGTGCTCAGTGGCGGTTTGTGACGGCATGGGCGCTGAAAGATTAGCGGAAGTTGCCTGGAACTCGCAAAGATCTATGGGAAACTCGCCTGTATTTGGGCATCGTCTGGTCCTCCCGGTTCTGCGCAGTGGATGATCTCCCACAATGCGTTGCGCCAAACACCCGTGTGTGGGTCTCACACCAGGTCTCACGCACGTGCACAGAGGGGCTCGGCCGCGCTCTGACCAATCAGAGCAGTTCATCAGAGCGGGAGTTAGAGCGAGAGCCAGACGAGCAGAGTTTGTGGCACTAAAGTGTGGATTTAAACAAAACCGAAGGATTTAAGAAGAAAAAAAGTTCAGGATGACAAGGGACACTAAAATCCCCACAAAATCCGACCTTTATGAAAGCTGTAGGTTCTCTGTCAGCTGAGGTCGAGCTGATTTAATATGCATTTAGTTCTATGGGGAACATTTCCCACCTCTGCACCTTCTCCACCGACTCCCACTGATGACTGCTGTCGTTGTGTCCTTGGGCAAGACACTTAACCCCACTTTGCCCAAAAGCTCCCACTGAAAGATCAAGGCTATGCTCACACTCAGAGAGCAGCCATCCTCCTGTGGACTCACCACCTGCAGAGGATCAGTGAGGGGCTGGTGCTATGAGACTTGGGTGGCATCTCTGACTGCCACCCCCCTGACCCAGAAATGGATTAAAGGGTAGAAAATGGATGGATGGATGGATGGGAACATTTCTGGGTAGCCCACGTGAATTTAGTCTGGTTCAGTCTGCAGTACCGCGAGAATCCCCCGAGCACATGAGTTATTCAGCTAAAAGCTAGTAATATCCTATCCAGTTATTATAATAGATACATGGGTTGATTATACTAACAGGCAAGGACATAAGCTTTTTTATCTGATACCTGCTCGTCATGAAGACAGAAGACGACGATGGCCAGCGGCAATCAACCAAAAGGACTGGGACCCATCCAAGTACTCCCTAATATGCAGTGAACACTTTTTACAAGATAAAGCAATTGTGATTGCTTGTATTTATTTTATTTCCATTAATGTGGAGGACAATGACACACGTCAAACGTGTCTCTTACTACTGTCCTGTATGTGCGCTGCAACATTGACATTTTTATCTTTTAAGTCAATTGCGTGTTTCACTATTTTCCTCTCCGTCAGTACGTATCATGTTTGGCTGTAGACAGAAAAGCCACAGAAAAATGGACTATTGCTAATGCTACCAGCAAAATGTACATATAAATCTGCTCCAGTGTGAGGGGATGCATTGTTAACGATAATGATAAAGATCATGTAGGGTGAATTCGGGCAAAAATAGACATTTTATTTAATAGATAAAATTGACTGGGAGGAGAAGGTATGGGTCAACATCCAGTTAGGCGATCCTTAACTCCAAATCCTTTCTCCAAATACCACTCTTTGTGAGCCCTACTTCCACCTATAACGTAATCCAACATGTGCTTGAAGAGGCCACTTCTTCTGCTGTGGCTTCGGGGGACTGGCTCTTGGATCCGGTGGGGGTCTGGGGCCTCCTCTCTCCTCTGGGTCCTATGGGGTCTGAGTCCTGGGCCTGGTGGGGTCTGGGGCCCCTCTCTCCTCTGGGTCCTGTGTCGTTGCCTGTGGCTGCAGCCGGCTCTCTGCTCCTGGTGCAGATGGCTCCTTGGATGACGCTTCTTCAGCCGGTTACATCTGCTCCCAGCCCATGTCTTTTTATTGTTTTACCTATTTTACCTGATATGACTTTATACTTGTGTATATGTGTATATGTGTATATGTGTATATGTGTATATGTGTATATGTGTATATGTGTATATGTGTATATGTGTATGTGTGTATGTGTGTGTGTGTGTGTGTGTGTGTGTGTGTGTGTGTGTGTGTGTGTGTGTGTGTGTGTGCACTTGTTTTCAACTCCTGGTGGGTTCCATAACCTGAGATTCCACTCACGTCATGGGGACTGGTTTTACGTGGTGGGGCCCGAACACCGGACCCCACTGGTCCAAGCTTAATAATCAATGGGTAATGCTTTTCTAACGGTCCTTATGCAGTCTCTGTAAAAATATGGAAAGGACCCCTGGAGGTTTACTTTCCTGAAAAAAGTGTGTTATGTGTCGGAACCCTGGTGGTGGGTTGCGGGATATCAAGGAGGGGCACACTGGGGCAATTTCAGTCCAGCAGGCGGGAGCCAATCATGGAGCAGCACAACAGAGGAAATCAGGTGTCAGGCTAGAAAAAGGTGCAAGTGTGTGGTTCATTAGGCTGCAAGAAATCATGGAGGAGCACACTGAAGCGCACGCTTACAAACCACTGGTAAGTGCTGACTACAAGTCATGACTTCAAATTGTTATATAGAATGATTACAAATTATTTGTTGTTTGTGCAGCTTAGTCAAGAGTCCCTAATTGATGAAGTCGACTCAGATTCTGACGATTTAACTGTCAAGAAGAAACCTGTAAAAAAGTATGGAAAAAGAAAAATCAAAAACACTTTTCTTCAAGACTCGGAAAGTGACGAACCAAAGGCAAATAAGATTGTTATCATGCAGCTGCAAAAGAAGAAAAATGGGGGGCGAGTATACAGCAAGAGACACTTCTGCCTCTACTGTTCAATGTCCTGCCACAAAATGTCCCGTCATTTGACTAGAAAACATGGAAATGAAAGTGACGTAGCCAGAGCATTGGCTCTACCTGTGAAATCTAAAGCACGTAAACTTCAGTTTGATTTGATCAGGAATAGTGGAAACCGTGAGCACAATTTTGAGGTTTTAAAGGCCGGCATTGGAACTTTAGTCCCAGCTAAACAGCCAAATTCCCCAGTTAAATCCAGTGAGTTTTTGCACTGTATAGACTGTGGGGCATTGCTTAAGCGAAAGTCGCTGTGGAGGCATGTGGCCAGGTGCCGGCTTTCACAGAAAGATGCCCAGGCTAAACCAGGTAGAAGTAGGGTCCAGTCCCTCTGCTCCCTAGCCCAGCCTGTACCGGAGGGCATCAGCAAAAAGCTGTGGTCTTTAATTTCGGCAATGCATCAGGATGAGGTCACGGGTGTTGTCAAAGCAGAAAAGGGGATTCTGAGACTCGGAGAGCACCTGTACTTAAAACACGGGCATGATAAGACTAAGCATGATTACATTAGGCAGAAAATGAGAGAAGTCGGTAGGTTAATTAACGAAGCAAAAACCGCAGGGAAACTGAAAACAATTAAGGATTTCTTTATTCCTTCCAACTTTAACCATGTGATTGATGCAGTCAGGTCTGTGGCTGGATATGATGAGGAAACAAATCAATACAAGACTCCATCCTTGGCCCTCAAACTCGGCCATAGCCTCAGAAAGCTAGCAGATATTCTTGAATGTGACTCAAAAATGGAGCATTGTGTTGATGAACTATTTATTAAAAACCTCCAACGAAGCCGGCTGCTTTTTGAGAAGAGGTGGGACGTCTGTGTTTCTTCTGCTGCCCTACAGACCCTCCGGCAAGCCAAGTGGAACACTCCGGACCTGCTCCCTCTGACTGAGGACGTTAGAGCCATGCATGCACATATTGAGGTATGTCGACCTGAATATGTGCAAACCCTAATAAGTGAGCCAACGTCTAAGCATTGGTCTAAACTGGCAGTTTTGACTCTTTGTGAGGTCATCATTTTCAATCGAAGAAGGGAAGGTGAGGTTTCAAAGATGCCACTGACAGCCTTTACCTTAAGAAGTAAGACTGGGATCCATTCTGACATTGCTCTGGGACTGTCCCAACTTGAGAAAAAGCTGTGTCAGCATTTTCAACGCATTGAAATTAAAGGGAAAAGAAGTCGGAAAGTGCCGGTTCTTTTGACTCCTGAAATGATTGCTTCGATGGAGGTGCTGGTGGAGAACAGAAGGGCCTGTTCCATCTCTGACCATAACCCATACTTCTTTTCCCGCCCGGGCGCAGACACCCACATCAGGGGATCAGACTCCCTACGCCAGGTAGCCAAAGAATGTGGTGCGGTGCATCCAGAGATGCTATCCTCAACCAAACTTAGAAAGCACATAGCTACTATGTCTACAGTTCTCAATATGAAAGAGAATGAGATGGACATACTTGCCAACTTCCTCGGCCATGACATTCGCATCCACAGGCAATATTACAGACTACCAGAGGGGACACTGGAGCTGGCCAAAATCAGCAAAGTGTTGATGGCCATGGAGCAGGGAAGAGTGACGGAATTCGAAGGAAAGAGCCTCGACCAGATACAAATTGAGCCTGAAGGTAATTCTTGATATTATTAAAATATGTATGATTTTTTTCCCCTAAAGGCCACTTGTATTTTTATTTTCTGTGCGACAGGGAGAGCAGTAGAGATCCTCTCACAAACGGACGGGCTAAAAGAAACTTCAAGCGGAGAACCTTCAACCATTCATCCAGATGCACCCCATGGTAGTGGCAGTGCCCCTTCTGGTAAGTGTACCAGGTGGGGGATTACAGCCAGGCTGCTTGGTCCTCACCCTGGGAGTGTATATTGCTAATATATTTTTATTTCTCTCCCTAGAACGTGTAAGAAAGCCATGGTCTGCATCTGAGGTGAAGGCTGTGGAGAAGACCATGACACCTTTCATACAGACTGGAAAGGTCCCTGGGAAGTCTCACTGCCTGGCCTGCATTAATGCCTCACCAGATGACCTTAGACATCGGACATGGAGTGGCATTAAATTCTATGTCAAAAATAGAATCACTGCAATTCGAAAACAAAATCTAAAATAAAATTCCTTTAAAATAGTTGTTTGGTTTCTATTGACTGTTTTGTATTACTTAAAGTCTTGGTAAAAAAAGATTATGTCTATGGGTCCCATTCTGAACGGCCCTGTCAAAGGGACCCACCAGGTAACAAAAACGTGTACAAAACATCCGCAAAACGTTGTAATTGTTTGGATGTACCAACAACAGCGTTAAAAAAGGAGTGACCTATCCTTATACATGATCCCTAGCGAGGCTACTGAGCCAGAAAGGAGAAGCAATGCGGCCACTGCTTGGAGCTATCATGGAATCTTAAATTTTGTCACTTTGCTCCTTGAACAAAAGGAAATCAACAACCCCCTACCCAGATTACACGTCCGGTCCATTTTCCCCCCCGCAAGCAGTGCTGAAGGAATCGACTAAAGTAACCCTACACTTGTTCGCATGCAAGAGACACAGAAACAAATAGTAAGTGTGCGACCCACAGGTACCCTAGCGGTAACAGAATATAAAAAAACCATGCAAACCGGGAGGGTGATCAACATGCATCTAGGTTGCTCCTAGATCAATGACCAATAAGTATGCCGAATGGTGGTTGACACTAACACGTGGAAATTGTAATACGAACATATTGGGCAGTCCGATTTTGGGTGAGTTGGCAGACACATTAGAATGAGTAAGGCAAATTGTGTGTGATTGCTGCGGATTGTGAACAATCGGCAGTAAAACCGGACCTGCGGATAATGAGCTGCATGGCCAATGCACCGTTAAAGAATTAAAGATGCCATATTGGCAAAGAGTTTGTGTACAAACACTGGAGACAAGCACCTTCGTGAAATAGAATGTATGGCCCCCATAGGACAATACATAAATAATAAAGACAGGTGATTCGCTAATGACAAATTGTGATAAAGGATACGTGGGAGAGTATAACTGCTACAAAAAGGGTAATCTGTGTAAAAATACAGAGTGTTGCTTACAAATGTATTGTCCTGGTAACACAAAATTTACCTCCGGTAGAAATTGTCCAGTGCAGCTCGACTTAGTAATCGAGCAAGGCTGAGGGTGTCACAGAATGCCGACCTGGAAAGGTCTTGTCATGATTGGTATTTAATAAGGTACATAACTATCGACTGTCGCCGGCTGTCTGAGTCAGAGTCGTCTATTATGACTTAATCTCCCCCAATCCAACGCATTACGAAATATAGACTGCCGTGTTGGGAACATCCCAGGAACCGAGGGGGAGGGGGTGGGAGGGGGGTCGACGGGGCCCGATGGCGCCAGACTGTCCCGCCTCGCTGCAGGCAGGCTGCACCCCAGGGCAGCTGGTGGCTAGAATAAGGTGCTTACCACCACCAATATGGAGTGAATGAATAGTGCAAGTGGGATAGCGTCTGTTGAGGGTCCAGATAAAGGCCCTACATAAAACTGAGGCATTATGTTAGGAGTAGTATAGATAATATGAGGCCATGTCTTAAAATTTGTCTGTGATCAGATGGGCATAAGAATACACCCTTGGGATCTAGTTGGGTTGCAGCTCCATCCTCTACTCTAGGTTCATCACGAAAGGATAGGGACGGGATGAAGCAACTGGAATGGGAGGAGACAAAGTGTCCCAGAAGATGGTGCAACAAGATATGTGTCATCACCCGGCATATGAGAAATGCACGAGACCGCAAGCAGACAAACGGAGTGTGAGCATGTGACAAAATCATCAATAGATGCGGTCTCCACCATCAGAATACTAATTACATCCGAAACAAAAGATAATGAAAGTAAGGGATATAATGTGTAGTTTGGATACGGTAAACGATACACATCGAGGAGAGTGACAATTGGACCCGGGGGGGGGGGGGGTGGGGGGCAGACAACAACACTGACAAAATGGCAAGGAAATGATGACAAATGGTGGGGCATGGCAATCGGCACCTGTCCTGTTTAGTAATGTTCGACTTATACAAAGTGCTAATAAACTATTATCTCAGTGTAGAAGAAGGGTTAGCAAAGGCGGGCTGGTGTCGTAGAAACACTACAGAGATAATAGTAATAAAATGTAATGCTGAGGACGGTGATTAGCAAAAAAGAACCGGTCCATAATAAGGGTGAATGAGAGGGGTATGCCATTGTACGTTAAAAATGTTAAATAGAAATTAATCTCATATGAATGGACACATTGAGGGCCAAAGCTAAGGAATAACCAAATGAATACCATAATGGCCATGCCTCGGGTGTCGTGTTGCTAGGTATGACATATTCGCTATGCTTAATGGGTCGGCAAGCTCGAACACACCGTTACAACAAGTGAAATGCACTAGTGGTGTGGGGGAATGATAGGAATTTCTGCAGTTAGCCGTTGGGGGCGCTTGGAAAAAACGGTGCCCGGTCACTTACACGGTACAAGCTGGTGCCACTGACTGACTGACAGCTCAGTACAGCCACATGGTAATCAGAATGGCTGTGGATATGGGCCATAACATAGATGAATGTTATCGATGCTTGATGGTATTTAAATATTAACTACAAGTTAGGACACATGGTATGTACACCTGTGTTCATACCAGGGGACTTGATGAGGGAATTGTATATGGCGGGATACGCGAGCCTGGCCATGCGCTTGGGGGTTGTCCCGGGCCTCTCAGGATCGCGTGCTGGGGAGCTTTTTCGATAGGGAACAAGATGGGAAACCTTTTTATACAAAGCGACCATGCTTGCCTTGTACCTGAGCCTGGCCAGGTGCCAGTCCGTAAAAACGCCGGTCAAATCTTGGGTGGCCCGGGATGGTACCCTCTGTACTGAAAACTAGTACGTGGATGGGTAATCCAGGCAGGTGGGGTGACCATGGTCAATGCAGCGCTAGGAGACTGGCAATAGACTGATACCTACATGCTGCAATAGAAGAAGAATCGTAATTCATATAGGCCTTCCCAGACATAGTAGCTAGTCCACAAAGCGCTTTACAAACATGATGTTTAATCTCACGATGTATGAGTTGAATGTATACTAAAACTGGCGATTATAATTAAAACACAACTAAAAAGGTGGTCCTTTGTGGGCTTAAAGGTCAAGATCAAGAGGAATGTCATTTTGCGTTAATAAAAAAGTGTATCTGTATTTCCAACAACGTTAGACATTTCTTATTGTGTTACTATGAATCAGCAACAATGGAAAAATAATAGGAATTGTAGATTTCTGCCTCCACTAAGCAAAGCCCTGAATGTTTACCACCACCAACATACATTTCGCATCACACAATATCATTCATCAATTATTCAAAGTTTCCGGTTATCCATAACTGACATAAACACGGCAAAACATATGTAGGCCCCCAGCCCCGGCGACCACCGGCCGCCGGCAGCGACAGCCCGCGCAGCCGACTGGCCCCCCCTCGTCTGACGGAGCTCCCCCCGGCCCCCCCCGCCCGGGGTCGCCCCCACGCCCCCGGCCCCAACCGCCACGGGCCCGCCTGCCGCGCGCGTCCCCACCCCCCGTGCTTGAGCGACCCCCGGCCCCCCCGTCCCCCCGGCCCCGTCGGCCCCCTGGTCCACACCGGGGCGCCCGATCGCGCTACCCCCTCGTCCCCTCCGCGCTGTCAAGCATGCAGGGTGCCTCCCACCCCCGGGCCCCCTCCGCTACGCTTGGGGGGTGCCGCCGCTCGCGCCATCGCCCCCGCCACACCTACCCCGGCCGCGCCGGGCGCTCGACTCCCGACCCCCACCAAGCACTCAACCAGCGCCGGCCAGCCCCGGTCAGTCCAACGCACAGAACACGCGGGGGGACGACGCGCCCCGTCGCCCCACCGGGGGTGGGGGTGGGAGTCACCCACCCACAGGCGCCTGCACAAAACTGGCGCCCCAGTCACACCCGACCCTCCCGCGCAGGGCGCCACCACTTGTCCCACCCCCCCGCGAAGCCGGCCGCGCCCCCCGTCCGCGCCCAGCGCCCCCGCGCCCCCCCCTCACAGCCCGCCCCCGGGGGTGTGTGGTTGGGGGCTCTGTCCACCCCCTCCGGCGTCACGGGACGGGCCCAACAAGGGTGCGCGGGGCCCCGGCGTCCCGGGGCCCCCCCTTTCCGGCCCCCTCCCCCCCGGCCTGAACGCCTCTCCGCCCTCCGGGGGGTGGAGGGGGCCCCGACGGCCGCCCGGTCGCCCACGCGGGGACAACAAGAGCGTATCCCCGCGCCCCGTCTCCGGGGCCCCCGGCACCGACCCCACCCACGCGGCCCGGGCGCATGGCCCACCGTGAACCCACCACCCCCCCGCGGCGGGACGCACAACCCAAGGTCGCACCGGGGCCCCCAAGGGGGGGTGGCAGGCGGCTGCTCCTCGCATGCATCCCCCGCCGTCCCGACGGGCCGCGCCGCCCCACGCCGGGCCTGGGCTCCGCCCCCCCCTGCGCCCGTTCCCCCCGTTCCGGCGGTCCCGTGGCCACCCCACCCGCCCTTCCCCCCGTTCCCCCTGTCGCCACCTGTCCCGCTCTCCCCTCCGCCCCCCCTATCGTCCGGGCGCTCCCTGCCCGTGCACTCCCCGGGTGGTCCCGCCGCCGTGGTGGCTTGCCCCCCCCCCCGGCTAGGCCACTGGGCTAGCCTGGGGGGGGGGGGGGGGGGGGGTTGTCACACCCGCGGGCCGCCAGTGGCACCCCGACCCCGCCGCTTTCGGCCCCAGCCGGCCCACCCCCGGGGCGGGCAGCGGCCGGCGCCGCTGCATGGCCCTCGACGCCGCGTTCCCGTTTCAACCCCGCACCCGCCGCGCCGCCCGCCCCCCGCCCCGAGGTGGCAAAAAACCTAAGTGTCTATGCTGTAGTACTGGGCTCGCTGTGGCCGAGTGGCAAAGGCGATGGAATGGGGAGTCATTGAGGTCCTCCCACGCAGGTTCGAATCCTGCCCACAGCACTTAGAATTATTTTCACATTTGCTTGGAGCACCAGGCCTGTGATGGCTCTATTTCAAGCCGTACTTCAGGGCTTTTTTCGGGGTTAAAACCTCCGAGGACCCCCCTGGGTCTCAGGCTTTCCAGTGCTGCATTTATGTCCGGATTTCTAAGCTTTTTTCGGGGATAGAACCTCCACAGAATCCCCTCGGTTCTGGGACCCGCATGGCCCTATTTTAAGCCGGATTTAAGGGCTTTTTTCGGGGTTAAAACCTCCGAGGACCCCCCTGGGTCTCAGGCTTTCCAGTGCTGCATTTATGTCCGGATTTCTGTCCGGATTTCTAAGCTTTTTTCGGGGATAGAACCTCCACAGAATCCCCTCGGTTCTGGGACCCGCATGGCCCTATTTTAAGCCGGATTTAAGGGCTTTTTTCGGGGTTAAAACCTCCGAGGACCCCCCTGGGTCTCTGGCTTTCCAGTGCTGCATTTATGTCCGGATTTCTAAGCTTTTTTCGGGGATAGAACCTCCACAGAATCCCCCCGGTTCTGGGACCCGCATGGCCCTATTTTAAGCCGGATTTAAGGGCTTTTTTCGGGGTTAAAACCTCCAGGGACTCCCCTTGGTTCTGGGACCTGTCATTGCTCTTTTTCAAGACAAATTTCATGCGCTCTCTCCAGGGGAGAAATGCGCCCACCCTTATTCTTTGAGAATATGTGTGCACTTGTTTTCAACTCCTGGTGGGTTCCATAACCTGAGATTCCACTCACGTCATGGGGACTGGTTTTACGTGGTGGGGCCCGAACACCGGACCCCACTGGTCCAAGCTTAATAATCAATGGGTAATGCTTTTCTAACGGTCCTTATGCAGTCTCTGTAAAAATATGGAAAGGACCCCTGGAGGTTTACTTTCCTGAAAAAAGTGTGTTATGTGTCGGAACCCTGGTGGTGGGTTGCGGGATATCAAGGAGGGGCACACTGGGGCAATTTCAGTCCAGCAGGCTGGAGCCAATCATGGAGCAGCACAACAGAGGAAATCAGGTGTCAGGCTAGAAAAAGGTGCAAGTGTGTGGTTCATTAGGCTGCAAGAAATCATGGAGGAGCACACTGAAGCGCACGCTTACAAACCACTGGTAAGTGCTGACTACAAGTCATGACTTCAAATTGTTATATAGAATGATTACAAATTATTTGTTGTTTGTGCAGCTTAGTCAAGAGTCCCTAGTTGATGAAGTCGACTCAGATTCTGACGATTTAACTGTCAAGAAGAAACCTGTAAAAAAGTATGGAAAAAGAAAAATCAAAAACACTTTTCTTCAAGACTCGGAAAGTGACGAACCAAAGGCAAATAAGATTGTTATCATGCAGCTGCAAAAGAAGAAAAATGGGGGGCGAGTATACAGCAAGAGACACTTCTGCCTCTACTGTTCAATGTCCTGCCACAAAATGTCCCGTCATTTGACTAGAAAACATGGAAATGAAAGTGACGTAGCCAGAGCATTGGCTCTACCTGTGAAATCTAAAGCACGTAAACTTCAGTTTGATTTGATCAGGAATAGTGGAAACCATGAGCACAATTTTGAGGTTTTAAAGGCCGGCATTGGAACTTTAGTCCCAGCTAAACAGCCAAATTCCCCAGTTAAATCCAGTGAGTTTTTGCACTGTATAGACTGTGGGGCATTGCTTAAGCGAAAGTCGCTGTGGAGGCATGTGGCCAGGTGCCGGCTTTCACAGAAAGATGCCCAGGCTAAACCAGGTAGAAGTAGGGTCCAGTCCCTCTGCTCCCTAGCCCAGCCTGTACCGGAGGGCATCAGCAAAAAGCTGTGGTCTTTAATTTCGGCAATGCATCAGGATGAGGTCACGGGTGTTGTCAAAGCAGAAAAGGGGATTCTGAGACTCGGAGAGCACCTGTACTTAAAACACGGGCATGATAAGACTAAGCATGATTACATTAGGAAGAAAATGAGAGAAGTCGGTAGGTTAATTAACGAAGCAAAAACCGCAGGGAAACTGAAAACAATTAAGGATTTCTTTATTCCTTCCAACTTTAACCATGTGATTGATGCAGTCAGGTCTGTGGCTGGATATGATGAGGAAACAAATCAATACAAGACTCCATCCTTGGCCCTCAAACTCGGCCATAGCCTCAGAAAGCTAGCAGATATTCTTGAATGTGACTCAAAAATGGAGCATTGTGTTGATGAACTATTTATTAAAAACCTCCAACGAAGCCGGCTGCTTTTTGAGAAGAGGTGGGACGTCTGTGTTTCTTCTGCTGCCCTACAGACCCTCCGGCAAGCCAAGTGGAACACTCCGGACCTGCTCCCTCTGACTGAGGACGTTAGAGCCATGCATGCACATATTGAGGTATGTCGACCTGAATATGTGCAAACCCTAATAAGTGAGCCAACGTCTAAGCATTGGTCTAAACTGGCAGTTTTGACTCTTTGTGAGGTCATCATTTTCAATCGAAGAAGGGAAGGTGAGGTTTCAAAGATGCCACTGACAGCCTTTACCTTAAGAAGTAAGACTGGGATCCATTCTGACATTGCTCTGGGACTGTCCCAACTTGAGAAAAAGCTGTGTCAGCATTTTCAACGCATTGAAATTAAAGGGAAAAGAAGTCGGAAAGTGCCGGTTCTTTTGACTCCTGAAATGATTGCTTCGATGGAGGTGCTGGTGGAGAACAGAAGGGCCTGTTCCATCTCTGACCATAACCCATACTTCTTTTCCCGCCCGGGCGCAGACACCCACATCAGGGGATCAGACTCCCTACGCCAGGTAGCCAAAGAATGTGGTGCGGTGCATCCAGAGATGCTATCCTCAACCAAACTTAGAAAGCACATAGCTACTATGTCTACAGTTCTCAATATGAAAGAGAATGAGATGGACATACTTGCCAACTTCCTCGGCCATGACATTCGCATCCACAGGCAATATTACAGACTACCAGAGGGGACACTGGAGCTGGCCAAAATCAGCAAAGTGTTGATGGCCATGGAGCAGGGAAGAGTGACGGAATTCGAAGGAAAGAGCCTCGACCAGATACAAATTGAGCCTGAAGGTAATTCTTGATATTATTAAAATATGTATGATTTTTTTTCCCCTAAAGGCCACTTGTATTTTTATTTTCTGTGCGACAGGGAGAGCAGTAGAGATCCTCTCACAAACGGACGGGCTAAAAGAAACTTCAAGCGGAGAACCTTCAACCATTCATCCAGATGCACCCCATGGTAGTGGCAGTGCCCCTTCTGGTAAGTGTACCAGGTGGGGGATTACAGCCAGGCTGCTTGGTCCTAACCCTGGGAGTGTATATTGCTAATATATTTTTATTTCTCTCCCTAGAACGTGTAAGAAAGCCATGGTCTGCATCTGAGGTGAAGGCTGTGGAGAAGACCATGACACCTTTCATACAGACTGGAAAGGTCCCTGGGAAGTCTCACTGCCTGGCCTGCATTAATGCCTCACCAGATGACCTTAGACATCGGACATGGAGTGGCATTAAATTCTATGTCAAAAATAGAATCACTGCAATTCGAAAACAAAATCTAAAATAAAATTCCTTTAAAATAGTTGTTTGGTTTCTATTGACTGTTTTGTATTACTTAAAGTAGTCCCAGTAAAAAAAGATTATGTCTATGGGTCCCATTCTGAACGGCCCTGTCAAAGGGACCCACCAGGTAACAAAAACGTGTATGTGTGTGTGTGTGTGTGTGTGTGTGTGTGTGTGTGTGTGTGTGTGTGTGTGTGTGTGTGTGTGTGTGTGTGTGTGTGTGTGTGTGTGTGTGTGTGTGTGCGTGTGTGCGCGTGTGTGTGTGGGTGTGTGTATTGTATATATAATTATAAATGTGGTTTTGGGGGGTCTGGGCATGTTGGATTGTTTTTAACTAAACTGTAAAGCACTTTGTGTTACACTTTTTGTATGAAAAGCGCTTTATAAATAAAATTTGATTGATTGATTGATTGATTCTTGATTTAAGAGAGGAAGCTCCGTTTTTAAGAGTTGTGTCCGTTTTGCTCTCGTAGCAATGCTAGTTTCCAATACTTCCGCCGTAAGCTCATTCACAATCACGTGACTGGATGACGTTGATGCATCTGGTCAATACCTCCTCTGGCTGTAACTGCAAACACAACAGTAAAACAGCCCAAAAGACGAAACAATGAGGAGGTATAATAGATTGTTAAAAGTGATTGTCTATGAAAATCCAGAAAGTAAAACATGTTTTAAAATGTATTGAAATATGATAAATCAATCACGTTAATTAAAAGAGGTGCTCATCCCGAGAAAAAAATCCGTGGTTTATACAAAGCACAATGTGTCTATCCAACTGTCTGTGAAACTGTATGTTATTGCTCTCTGCTGTTTATTCTACTGTTTGTCGCATGGCGCCGTAAAGATGGCGCCGTGGCAAGAGCTCTGGTGTGTGTCGTCTTCTCTGTCTGGTGCACACCGGGGTAGTCTTGCACAGTTTTTCCAATGTGGTTTTACTGCAAATGGCAAATAAATGAATCTGAATCTGAATCTAAAAGATGTATTTAAAATGACTGCAAATAGCCCAGAGCAAACAAATGATGTCATCACATCCTTGGTTTGATTTCTTATCCATTTGACCTTAATAACAGGCACTGATTCCCCATCCATTGACCATCTTTGAAGTCAAGATCTAAAAGTGCCCCGAAACAAATAGAAATAGATCTGTGCTGTCAGTTTTAAGCTCGTCACAGGAAATGACAAGCCTGGTGTTCAGAAGAGAGCCCTGGCCTGGAACCAAAACTTTTTTGTTAAAAATTTGTGACATCAATAAAAGTAAAGAAAGTTACTACATTTGATACTATTTTTAGTAAAAACTAAAAAAATCACAATTTGCTCTTTACATGTTAGGCAACTAAAAAGGAAGAGAAATAAAGACAAAGACATCCA